TTTAAAAAAAAAAAAAAGAAACTGTTCCTAAGTAGAAAACATCTGCGATCGCAAGTCAGTCTTTTTTGGCTATTGTTTTTCTTCCTCCTCCTTTCTCCTCCTCTCTTCAAATGACTTCTCACAAGGCAACAGGCACTTGGGTGGCTTTTCTGCATGGCCCTCTCCCTCCCTCTGCACGCCCCTCATGGCCCTGCCTGTCCCCCAAGGGCCCCTAGTCCTTGACCAACTTGTACACGTGGTGCTGGGCGCCGTGCTCGCTGGTGGAGACCTCGAAAACGAAGGCGATGCAGAGCAAGGTTTCCTGGGTATCCCTGTTCGTAACAACCTGCAGCAGAGCAGAGGGCATTAGGAGAGCGCTATGCCTGTGGGCAGGAGCTGTGATTTGGGGGGTTTGTGATTTGGGCTCAGGCACAGCCACTTTGAACCATGAAAAAATTTGCTGCTCGTTATTTTGTAGGATYGCACAGGCAGGAGCACAACTGATTTAATTACACCATCAAGATTTACTTCACAGTTTTGKGGGGATTAAACAGCCTGAATTACACCACCAAAAATTTGCTACCTGTTGTTTGGGGGAGGTTGCACTGGCCTGGGCACAGCCACTGTGTCTGCACAACCGAAAACGGTACCCATTATTTGGAAAGCCAGTCAAACTCAGGCAAGGCCAAATTTAATTGCACCGTGAGAATTTGGCTTCCAGTATCTGGTAGATTTGTCCAGGCTTGGGCACAGCCACCAAGATCTGCTCCCTGGAATTCAGGGGCTGTGTGGGCTCGGGCACAGCCAGGTGTATGTGGGGCYGGCAGGGTCGATGGAAGAGCAGGAAGAGGGTGGGAAACACCCCCTGGGAAAGGAGGGCAGGTACCTGCAGGATGGTGAAATTCTCCAGGACACTGTTCATCATGTACTTCTCCGGGAGGTGCTTGAGTTTGTGGATGAAGTTGATCATGTACTCGCACATGGGAGAGCGGTGGATGCGGTAGACGAACCGGCCGTTCTCCAGCCGCGCGTACTCCGTCTGCAGGGGACAGCYGGGGTGAGCAGCTGGCCCRTGGCTGGTGGTGGCCAACTGGGACRTGGTGAYRTCCTCTCTACTCCACCCATAATCACCCATGTGTTCCACACACAGCTCTGGGGCTCTGTCCATCCCAGCACCAACTCCCGCCCGTTCCCAATGCAGCACAGCATGGAACTCACCTCCACCTTCTCCACGACCTGCTTCCCAAAGGAGCACACCTTGGTGGAGACGGTGATGGTCATGTTCTCTGCACTGCTGTACTGGCTGCTGACACCRTAGAAGGTCCCTGGCCCGTCCTGGATCGTGCTGTTCAGATCGGCCTGGAGAGGGGCACAGGAATCCGTGAA